GAATTACAATCACTTTCAAATATTTGTATCAAGCTTGAATAAAAAATATTAAATAAAAATTAAAAATTAATATGTGCAAAAGAAAGTGAACCCTTACATTTACAGTATAATTGTGTTTTACATGGTTAGCAGTGAAAACAATTTTTGTGCACATATAAAAGTCAAAATATCACGTCCTTATTGTTTGGTAAGCTGTGAATACAAACAAGCTGTGGATGTCAAACAATATAACACATTGTTAATGCAAAATTAAGCAGCTAGAGATTAATTTAAAAAAGAAATTGCAAGATTTCAAAAACGCTTCCTTAAGATTTAAAGAATCGCATAGTTGAAACCTATAAAGATGACGAGGGCCACCAAAAGCTATCAAAACGATCTGTAGTGCAGTTCTCCACCATGCATCAGATTATTTATAAATGGAAGGCTTTTGGTATGACGGCATGGCAACCAAGAAGTGGCCATCAGCAAAAAAATAACTACAAGAGCAAGTAGACATGTAATTCGGCAAGCTCAGAAAAAATCCTGCTGTGATATTTGTGGTTCTCAAATGCTCACTGGCTAATGTCGGAATCAATGTGCATATATCTACTGGGAGACGAAATCTGAACAACACTGATCATCATAGCCGAATGCCTAGAAAAAGGCACTACTTAAGAAATACCAAAATCATGGTCACTTCAACTATGCCAAAGCTCATACTATTAAGCTAGAAATATTCTGGCAAAAGATTTTATGATTGGATGAGTCCTTGAGCTATATGGAAGGAACAAAAGGCAGGATACCTGGCGAGCTTCTTATACGGCTTTCGAAGAGAAGATTTTGATACTGACCATTAAACATGACAATGACTAAATTATAATTTGAGGGAGCATTACTGCAGATGGAACAGAAAAATAGTACACATTGACGGCACAATGGACTATGCAAGACACCAACAATTTTGAATGGAAATAGCCTGTCCTCAGATCAAAATTTGGGTTCATGTCGGAGCTAGAATTTATAATTAGACAATGATCTGAAGCATCAAAGTAAATCCACAAAATAATGGGTTCGTAAAAAGAAATTTCAAGTCTTGAAACGGCTAAAGTCTTGATCTAAGCCCAAATCTAAATCTGTGATTCAAGTGAGAGAAGGCAGTGCATGAGAGAACTCCAGGCAATATCTACTATTTATGAGAGATTTTCCAAGAAAAGTGATCAAAAATTAGCACTTACTACTGCAAGCAATTTTTTTTTAAATTACCGAAAAAGATTGGTTAACATTGTGACCACAAAAGAACCAGTCATCAAATATTAAATCTAGGGGTTCACTTAATTTTTAAAATTTTAGTTAACGTTTTCATTCTGCTTGATAAGAAATATTTGAAAGTGGTTGTAATTCCTATAATAAAAGATTTTTTTTAATGAATATATATTATAATTAAGTTTTGTTGATCATCTGAAAAAAAGAGATATTTTTTATAAATTATCATAGGGATGCATTTATATATATATATATATATATATATATATATATATATACTGTTTCCTGCTAAATGCAACCGTTTAGCATGAAACAGACTATCGCCTTTCGTCGATGTTAGCTTCAATATCCGCTTATATATATATATATATATATATATATATATATATATATATATATATATATAAGTTAATCCTATGATAATTTATATATATATATATATATACATATATATATACATACATATATGTGTGTGTGTGTGTGTAAGTGTTCGTGCGTCTGTGCGCACATGCGCGTGCGTGGGCCAATATTTTTCGATCACACTCTGGATTTAATTATTTTAATAACTCTTTTGGTTTAATTAACTCCGACTATGCAAGGAAGTTGAAACTATTTAATGCGTGGCATTCATTAATTTTAGAGTGGAGATACCTAGAATTTAAAATTCCCCAACCCGAGGATTACCATTAGCCAGCAAGATAAATTAGGCAAAATCAGCTGAAATCTCAAGAAAATCACCTTCTACTTCTTCCGCACCTTCCCCCTTCTATTCTTCTTCTTCTTTCTGATGTAATTGTTGCTGTTATTATTATTATTATTATTATTACTAATGAATATAACCATACCATTCAGAAAGGCAACTTATCCGAGACGGATTAGGGAATTATTTCTCAAAAGGGCATAATGCCTTCAAATTTTAGGCGATTCTTGGAAACCTCGACAGCGACAAGCTAACATTTTGGCCGATACTGGATACACACACACACATACGCACACGCGCGCGAGCGCTCGCACACATAGAGAAATACACACACACACGGGCACCAATATACTCGAACGCACGTACGCACACAGACAATATGCTTAAAAACTTATATGCTTATAAACTTCAATTTTCCATGAATCTCGTACTTTCATAACTGCTCATGGCGTATCAAATGTAAACAAATGACATCATATATTAAGAAATGGACAGTCCGACAATTTATTTATTAAAGACATGTTTGTGTTTAATGTTCTTTTTATAGATACAAGTATTTAAGTAAATGCTCTGTTTATAATAAACAGTATTAAATAACATTTACCGGCCTGAATATCCGATAAATTTTCATAGAGAATATTCGCATTAATATAAGCAGTAAATTCAACCTGGCCAACTGAACGTTCCTTTGTGGCCGAGCGGTCAAGGCACGTCAGCGTATGACGGTTCCGTAGAGGATGCAGGTTCGAATCCTGTCAAAGGACGAATATTTTCTATGAAAATTTCTTGTATCTATAAAAAGAACGTTAAACATAAAAATGTCTTTAATAAATAAATTGTCGGACTTTGTCCATTTCTTTATATATATATACAAACGTGTGTTGCCGTGCGCTTTTGTATGTGTTTCTGTGAGTTTGTTGGCATGTTTGTGTGTGCCGGTATCTCTTTTCTGCATCAGTTTTTATCTTTCTCTTGTTTTGGCTCAGGTGCACACAACTCTCGATTATCTGGGTAAATAACATTCGTACTCTTATTAGCCAATTCATCAGACCTACATATTGAATTTGTAGGTCTGATGAAGTGGATCGTGATTACGATTCCAACGTAATAAATTATAATTAATTAAGTATTTATTCGAAATAATTATAACATTATTATATCATAATTATGTTATAAAATCACTAGAAAATAGCCATTTTGTTTCAACACTATTGGGAGGGTTTGTCTCTAAATCAACCCCTCTCTTTTAAGCAGTTTCGAATAAATTTCTTCTCCACCCTCCCAATTGTTGTAGTTGTTTTTTTTATGTTTGGTCACGTGGTCTTGGTCTTTTGTTTATCGCCAATAAGTATACAATTTTCTGTACCTCTTTAGCCAACTTTCCCTGGCGATCCGCTTAGGTGAAACCTTGGTAGGTTTGTCTGGCTCTCTAGGTTGACTATATATATATATATATATATATATATATATATATATATATATATATATATAATGGATACTGGAATGATGGAGACACACATACACACGCGCAACTATATACGAGAACATGCACACAGACATATATATATATATATATATATATATATATATATATATATATATATATATATATATTATAAATTAATTGATTTAAAATATGGTTTGTTTCGCTACACAATTCTAACCATGTTTCAAAAATGGAAGCTAAAATCCCCGAATTTAAATTTTGGGATTAAATTAAAGACATTAGTTCATCCTCAAGCGAATTTGGGGCTTTTTTTCCGTTTTTGAAACATGGTTAGAACTGTGTAAAAAACATATCTTAAATCAATTAATTTATCTTATTAATGTTCTGTAAATTCACATTCAGCACTATTTTTGTAAAAATAAAAATACCGATAAGAACACCGGGTTATATATCTTACTGTTCTTTCTTTTATATATATATATATATATATATATATATATATATATATATATATATATATATATATATATATATACGCATATTCAAGGAAATATATTATTAATGTTTCCTTTTCTCGTTAGAGTAGATGTGATTTTATGTTTTGATGCTTCGGCCCGGTGTCCTTCTTATTCGATTAACCTTTATAAGATTTGAAGTTTCTTTCAAGATACAGAAACTGAACAAATGCAATAGTCCCTTAAATGTAACAAACAGTAAAGTTTTGAGATCTGTTCAAAGAAACATAACAAACATAGTTCCAAAATATTCATTTTAGCGTTCTAAATACGGTTAAATTATATCGCAACTACTTGAAATTATCAGAGCTTTTTTATGTGAGCACGAGGTAGGAAATTCCCTTGATTAAGTGTTAAGATATTGCATCATTTTAGAGAAATGGGGTTGGGTTGTTAATAATGATATAATCCTTACAGTAGGATGGACCGGCATGTCTGGGCAACAACATTCGAGAACTTATCTCTCAGTGAATTTGAATACAGAATGATTATAACTCCTGCAATTACCGGTCTAGCTCAGACAATTATTGAAAAAAGTATAGTGTCTATTTAAAGAAAACGGTCAGTCTGGTTTATATCATGTTATGTTAATGAACATTTAACCCAGTGTTTTTTTAACTTTTTTTTTAAGCAACGGCTCACCTAAGAGCAAATGAAACTATCAGGTTTTGAATTAAACAAAGAATGCCTTATGCAATTATATGAACAAGCTTGATAATCATTTCCAAATTAAGGAAAATTTTAATACGTTAAATCAAAAGAATTACTCTTAAAAATGATTATTAAAACAATGTATTTAAAATAATACAATCCAAGAATAGTGAAAATAATTGCTTTAAAATATTAATATTTATTCATTTGTTCAAATACTAACGCTGTAACATTACTACTTACACACACACACACACTTACGCACCCACCCACACACACACACATATATATATATATATATATATATATATATATATATATATATATATATGACAATATTTTGCGGCACCCTTAAGAAGATAGCGCGGCTTGTTAGTGTACCGCAGCACGGCGGTTGAGAATAACTGATCTAAGCGATTGACAGAAAAATTCTACATTTAGGAATTTACGGCCATATCAGGTTGAAACACTGGTTCCCGTACGATCAACGAAATTAAGCAACTACGTGCCTGGTCAGTACATAGATGGATTAGTACTTGGGAATAGCAGGGGCTGTAAAATTGGATGTGCGGGTGGTGTAATGGACAACGTCTCGCAATTTTTAATCAGAGAGCCAAGTTCAAATTTGAGTTGTGCTCATGATACTCACTTTCGCACTTTACACCTTGGAAATGGTAGGAATCAACTCATAGCCTCCAGCTATGGGTTAATTAGTAAAACATGTTTCACAAAAAAATTCTCCTAAATAATTCTAAAACTTAAAGAAATAATTCAAATAATAAAGAAATAATGAAAAAAAGAAAAATTGCGTACACAATGTATAGATTTCGGCATTAAATAACCCAGAGATGTTCATATGCCGCTAAAGAAAATCAACCACAGCATTCTTTTCTCGGTCATTTCTCGAATCTGCCTACACATCCCGTTGTTTCTTACGCCGTCTTTGGCATTTACAACCATTTAATTTCGGCATAGCTTGTTCACTACAAGACATTTACTTTTTCGCTATCTTTTTTTACCGATCTTCATACAAATCTTGATGTATATACCAACCAATCAGTTTTTTATTTGTTGTTTTCGTATAGAAGTGTTTATAATTTAGAATAACTTGACTCAGTTTTATGAAATTCTCTGACTCTGACAGGGGTCCAGATCATTTGTAGCCAGTGAAGCAATGCATATAGCAAGCACATTCAAGAAGTCTTACCTTCAGGCATGTGCGCTCATATTGTATCAACCGATTTGGAGAAAGGGCTAATCACTAATGCATGAGGCGTACCTAAACAGACATCTCGAGAGAGTATGAGCAATTTCTTGCGCGGCGTTAATTTCCGCTTCCAGCGCTCAACATTAATCGTGCCTTTATATCAAACCTACCATCATACTAGCGAGGATGTTAAATCCCAACTCAGTTTTAAAGAATTAATAAAACGCCTTATTTTTTTTAATTTTTTAACTCCTGTGTAGGCCCTGAATGTTGTAAGGCAATGACTTTTAAGTTGTCTGCTTGATCTGCTTCCTTGTAGGTTGAGTTAGAATCAATCTCATTTGTCAGATAAAAACATAATCAACCAATAAAACATAACTTTCTCTTCAATGACAAGATCAGCGTCTCGTCAAAATAGTCTAACCAGAGCAACGTTAAAGAAATGACGCTAGACCGACACCAATTATATTAATGACGTTTGTTTTCGCGAAATACTGACAACAGGACAGGGTAATGAAGGGAGAGATGGATGCAATGAAAGCATTGATTACTATGAATGAGTTTTGATTAGTTTCCTTTTCAAAAAATATGGAAGACCTGAAGATAATCAGCTACACTGTTGAGATAAATTATCCTGACGTTCATATATTGTTAAACCTGGGATTTTATACCTGTATATTGAGAGGACACGAAAATAAGAAAGAAAATTCAGACAAAATCTTTCCTTGTCTTTTTCGTTTAATTAAACTTGTATTCATGAAACAACCTGCCCAAGTACACTTTAAAAACATAAGGAACAACAAATTAGAGAAAGCTACTTAACGACTTGTATTTTCCCTTCTTTTGAATAATGGCGGCTAATTGAAGTGACATAGGATTTACAAGATGCCGAAATATCTGCCTGTATATATTTATCAAGAGGCAATTTAAAAAAAAAACAAACAAAAAAAACTGCACGGAAGTTATTACAGTGTTGGGAACGATGTGTATGAATGCACCTACGTCAAAAAAAAATATGGCACAAGGAACTCTAGCGAGAGGATACAGCATTTCATGTCTAACCTGTAGAAAACTCGACTGTGAAGACATTTTCATAATCATTAACGACATTAGCATTATAAATTCAAATATTACAATATTAAAATGTAGGAGAACAATGGGTTATGCAAAAGATCATTTCTCATTCAAGACAGATTATCACGCAATGTTATATATATATATATATATATATATATATATATATATATATATATATATGCGCAGTACTTAGTATAAAATTCTATATCAGTGACAGAGATAACATATTCAGTTGTATTGATATTAGTTTGTAACCATGGTTTGTCTGATGATCGCAAATGTGAAACCCAGGATCACAAACTAATATCCATACAACTGAATATATATATATATATATATATATATATATATATATATATATATATATATATATATATATATATATATATATATATATATATATATATATATATATATATATATTTTATATATAGCCATATTTAGGGCAACGATGAAGATATTCAGACATCGTCAATGAAGACAGATTATTACGCATTGTTATATATATATATATATATATATATATATATTAGTTTGTGACCATGGTTTTGTCTGATGATCACAAAAGTGTGAAACCCAGGATCACAAACTAATATCCATACAACTGAATATATATGGCTATATATATATATATATATATATATATATATATATATATATATATATATATATATAGCCATATTTAGGCCAACAATTAAGTTATTCAGACATCCTCAATGAAGACAGATTATTACGCATTGTTACATATATATATATATATATATATATATATATATATATATATATATATATATATATTCAGCCATACTGAGACACCTTCATTGATTCTAAGTTATCAAATGCGTGTGAAAATGCTGATTCATTAACGACTATTACCAAACTAGCTTAAATCCGACATTTCAAAAGCCTATCGAGAGGCTTTTATGCTAGCTCCTGCGGTGGGTTCTTGATTGGGCCTTCATCAGAATAGGTAGGCAGAAGTACATGCGATATGCAACAATAAACTACAGATGAACTCAAAATATTTCGCAGCATTTAATTATTGCATTAATATTTATGCTTACCATTTAAAATTTCAACGTTAATTTTTCTGCCGCCATTAATTTAAAAATACTTTTATGTCGATAGAACCTTACTTTCCGTAAAAACAACTATTTTTATTGTGTGGATGACTTTAGCTGGATTTCGCAAGTAATTTCAATTATTCCCAAATTTATTTCCAATTTATAAAAATTGTTAACGTACAAAAAATTGTCGCCAAAATTCACGTAAAACATCATGAAAACAATCGGTGTAATGAAAATTGGGAGTCCAAATTATAGGATCTTGAAATGTTTTTAATTTTCTCATGGAGTCTACAAAATCGTGCGACGTTGTGATACGACCCCTATGAGTAAAGTGGAAAACACGGATAACTTTATTTTGAAACACTGTCATTTGAGGGCAGTAATTTTTTCATTTGAAATGAGCTATTGAAAGTTGTGTCCCTTTAAACTGAAAAAAGTGTGACACAGTGACACACTGACATTTGCATTTATTATATAGAAGAGAGCATCAACATTTAGATAAGAATGGTGAAGCTCATTTGACACGATTTGGTATATTGGTCTTCTTCACAAATTGAAAGATTATAATATTTCTGGACGAATTCTTGGACAGATTCAGTCTTCTTATCGAATCTTGAAATATGTCTTGGACGCCCACCCTTCTAGATCCTTTCGTTCCAATGCTGCCATCAACCAGGGCACTATCCTAGAACATCCGCTGTCCCTTATTTTCAAGATACCATCAGCTCTCAACTCGGAAAGCTATACGGCTGACACAACTATTTATTCCTGCCTTCATGGTAAGACTGATTGGTTTGCCGATCTAAAAAAAATCTACAATCTGTTGTTAACTGGGACAAAGAATGGCTTGTTAATTATATGGCCCTCAAAACGGAACTGGTCTCTAGAACATTTCCTGTCTTTCATTAAAATGGCTGATACTAACCTCCAGGATAGTGACTCGTTGTGCCTTCACGGGCTAACTTTTTCAGCTGTCATGAAGTGGAACTAATATATTGAATCAACTGATAAGTCTGCTATTTGAAATGTTGGTTAACTGTGTCGTATTGGATTTTTTATTTATTTATAAGTACACCATTCATCGATGCTAAGAATATTGCAGCCTCTCATAGTCTGGTTCTCCCGCTATATATTTAGAGATCCTTCTTGATATCCATAGAAGAATCTACAATGTAATAGGTATCAGCCTGGCATATCAGCTTCAATCATTTAAGCAACAACGTAATGTATCTTCCTTGTGCCTTTTCTATAAATACTTTCATGGTAATTTTTCTGATGAACTTTACTCTGTGATACTTAGGCTTTATGAATTTAAGCCCACTGCTAGATTTGCGACTAGGTCTCGTCATTTTAGAGTTGAAATGGCTAAATATAACCGTAAGTTCTATGCTAAGATTTTCTTCGGTTGTACTTCTTGCGTGTAGGACACTCTTCCGGCTTCTTGTTTTCAAGTCACTTTTGATCTTCAAAAATTTAAATGTAATATCAATCGTTATCTTCTACCTTAGAACCCTTAGTCGTCCGCTGCGTCTAAGTGGCTTTGTTGCCCTTGGTATTACAAAAAATATATGTGCAAAAAAGATGAATAAATCCGTATATAAAATGTTCAAATTTAATATCCTGTTAAAATTGTAATGACAAAAAAAAGTTGACAGATAACTGGCTAGTCCATATTTCACCATAAATCCCCTGAAAACTTGTGAGCAAATAGCCACCCACCTTGAGAATAAATCAGCTGTCCAATTAGACTGTCTCAATAAGCTTTCACAACAGACTGGGTGAACTCTCCTGCCGAATACAATTCATGAGTGCCCTATAGTTCAGTTTCGAACAGAACTGCTAGATTATTCACGGTTTGATGGATTGATTCATTTTCTACAATTTACAAAGCCATTACAGTTTATTTAAAGCCAGGAAATATTTTTTAGATTGTAATAATATAATAATGGTTTAAACATACAGCTCTTATTAAATAATCTGTTGTACCTTGCATTTTCGAGATAACAGAGAGAAATAAATACGGAAGACAAACTCGTCGGTAAGTAATGAAATAGAATGTTTAATAAAACAAGGTACGCTTAGCAATTGAACGAATGTTAACTCGGTATTTTCCCGAGATCCCTACAGAGCGGGATGTGGCACAAAGCCGGTTTAACGTTTTTTCCGAACCCATAGGCTCGGGCAAAAATTCCCCGTAGATCCTGTA